ATCGTTTACGTAGCTGGGCCTATTGTTCTAAGTTAGTCGCGGATTATGGATTCGTTTGCTTGCCAACAGAATTGAAGAATCGTGTCGGTAGCGTTTTTAGTTCTATCCTCACAGATTGCGGGTGATATACGAGGAAACGATTTCGCACCGGATGCTAGGCGAATGTGTATGTGTACGAATGTGTAGCGAACATGTGGCGATCGTGTAGATTTGAGCTCAAGATTGTGAGTTACGCGTCAGTAAATCGAGGTATTCTAGGCTAGGTAATGACGAATTTCCATGTTTATAGAAGTCACATCCCTTCCCTATTATCTACTTCTGATTACATATTATAGTATTACTACGGACGCGTTGCCTGCGTCGTACAATGAAGCGGGGAATAATATAACCCACAACAAACAATCATATCTTTCAAACAGTCAGTGTGGAGACAGATAGGTTGGTACGCATATACATCAGAGGAGTTACATGAGACAATTATTTGCCTCATTAACTCCTGATTACATATATATCAGAAGATATATATTAATATTATATTATTACTTACGACGCTTTGCCTGCGTGCACATTAATCTGGATAATATAATAGACAATAATATTGTTAGCATAACTCATTAGCAATTATCTCCCCGCATATATATATATATATATATATATATCTATATATATATGCGCCAGAATGCATGTAAACTTCAGTGCGTGCCACGATTTTTTTTTACTACGAACGCCAGTTTTATTCGCATCTGACATTTGTGCGCGCGAATGCAATTTTTCATGTAATGCGGTTAGCAGCAAGTGAAACCATGCTCCACAGATATACATAGGCTATCCATCAATCACTCACGAAAGAGCTCCGAGACGAATCATCAGCGGTCTAGCACCGAACACGGCACCTTCAAGGTGCTCATGCATGCTATCGCCCGAGAACCGGTGTAAAATCTTTTTTGTGAAAGTCGACACCAGAGTGTAATATTATATAATATATTATTTCGGAATTTATATATATCAAACTCAGAAAAACACAGAGTTGTGTTTTTATAATTATTTATATTTTTTGTAAATTATTATATTTTTTAAATTTTATATTTGTGAAACATAATGGCTAGACCGGCTCTTAGGCGGAGTAGGAGATTCACTCTCTGCTACCGCGGCCACCTGGCCACAGTCCGAAGTACTATCAGCTGAGCAGACTGAAGGTGGCAGCCAATCCTGCAATACAACGGTCACTCAAAGGAAACGCCCAACGTCTCGTCCTTTATAAACGGGTGCCAGTTTAATAGAGGTCGATTTCCTGCATAATTGGCAGACTCTATGTAGACACGCCCGCCGTAAGTGTCCTTTTAATATGCACGGTCGTCTCGTCTATGGAGGTGGCTCGTAACAACAGGTCTATGAACTGTATAAGTCGACACGTCAAGTATGAAGGTTTCGTTGTGTGTTACGCGTATCTAGAGCTGTCCTACGGGGAAGCTGAGTGAATGAGTGAGTGAACCTCCACCTGAAGAGACAATGGCTGGGCGGCGGCGCGCCTTCTCTATCGTGACCGCACTGCAATCGAGAGGTCCGCGATTCCTGTGGCTTTTCAACGATTACGTGATTCATCGGGTCGATAAAAAGTCGAAAAGTGGGGACAAAAAATCGGACACCCTCAGTCTCTCGCTCCGCGCCTGTGAGAAACCGACGCGCGTTTTTGAAAAGCCGCGTTAGTGTTGCCCATAGAGGAGGAATGTGCGAAGATGAAGAATGTGCGTCGCATGTGTGTGTGAAAGACAGAGAGGAGAGAGGAGAGAGAGAGAGAGAGAGAGAGAGAGAGAGGAGAGAGACGAGAGAGCAGAGAGAGAGAAGAGACGAGCGAGAGAGAATAGAGGAACGATGAGAGAGAGAGAGGAGAGAAGAGAGAGAGGGAGAGGAGGAGAGAGAGATGATGAGAAGAGTAGAGAGAGAGAGAGTAGCAAAGCACGGAGAGAGAGAGCGCTGCGAGAGAGAGAGAAGAGATGAGAGAGCGTAGCGAGCGAAAGCAGAGCCACGCCAAGCAAGCGAATGCAGAACGAACTTAGACAGAGTATTACCTCCGCCAGCCCGACATTAAGTCGTAGCAGCCGCCTCGTTGCTGCGGCTGCTCGGCTCAACATGTACACGCTTGACTCGGACGCCGGAACTAATATCGCGATCGGCCCAACACACTAACACACTAACATCTGACTGGGCCTGCAGAGACCCTGACTCACCATAACCGGCTCGGTTACGAGACGCGATCACATAACCTCCCTCCCACTCACGTTGGCATCAGGAGTTAATGAGGCAAACTTGTCTTATTAACTCCTGATGTAATGCGTACCAAATATCTGTCTCCATCACTGACTGTTTGAAAGTATGATGTGTTGTTGTGGGTTATATTATCCCAGCTTCATTGTACACGCAGGCAAGCGTCCTAGTAATATATAATATCATATATTATGATATGTAATGCGTACCAGCCATCTGTCTCCATCACTGACTGTTTGAAAGCATGATGTGTTGTTGTGGGTTATATTATCCCAGCTTCATTGTGCACGCAGGCAAGCGCCCTAGTAATATATAATATCATATATTATGATATATAATGCGTACCAACCATCTGTCTCCATCACTGACTGTTTGAAAGCACGAGGTTTTGTTGTGGGGCGTATTCATGCGTGTCGTATTCAGAGCACGAACATTCCGACGTATTCATCCGATTCTCTCAGAATTAGTCAGCATTTTAGGAAGATGGACGGTCTGACAGGCAGGCAGGCAAGCAGACAGGCAGGCAGGCGGGCAGGCTGGCAGGCAGCAGGCTGGCAGACAGACAGACAGGCAGGCAAGCAGGCAGATGGACGGACGGACGGACGGACGGATAGACAGACAGACACAGTTCTGATGCAGCTCCTCGCTGTTAGAACTCATTACTGATCTGTATTGAGATAGATAACATAATGAGATAGTATAATGATCAGTATCTCGTCTGATGTTCTTATGCTACGAACCATTATCTGTATCACGGTGCGTGATAAGATCTTTCTCCATATAATAAGAGACTTCATTCAATTCGATCCATCATTGTAATAGAAAACCCCTCGGTCTGATCAGTGCAACCATTAAAGTATTTCACCCACAAGCAGTGCAGCTATATTTATTTATTTACAAAGATGAAAACCTGCATTCGCGTTCAATCAGCCTAAGTGAAGTGACTGATCGTTTTCGTCAAGTTTCTTAACGAATCATGCATTATTTCTGCGTGTACGTCTGTCTGTCCATCTGTCTGTCCGTCTATCCGTCTGTGACCTGTCTATCTGTCTGTCTATCTGCCTGTCCGTCCAGGCGTCCATCCGTCTGTCCGTCCATCTGTCTGTCAGTCTATCCGTCTGTCCGTACACCCGTTTGTCCATCTGTCTGTCCGTCCCCTAGTCTGCCCGTGTCTCGTTTCTTCTCGCTTTTAACCCGAGTGGCCCGAGTTAGTGTAGGTATAAGGATCGGTGTCGCGGTCTCTGCTTGTCACCTCGTCGCGAGATGACATCTCGTGTGACACGGCTGTTTGTTGATGGTGTGAACTGCAGGGACTGCGCACTAATGGCAGCTTAATTACCAAGAAGCATTCGCCGCCGAGAGACAGCCTGACCCCAGCTTGACCACTACAGTGTTCACCCGCACACCCCCTCCTGCGAACCCGCACGCCCCTCGGCCTAGTCTGACCGTTCGACACGACTAACGTTTCTCACACGAGTGTCCGTCCGTCCCTGTAGGGGGCGTGCTGTGTATTCTGCAACGGGGTGTATACTTACGGTACACACGGGGGGCGTATAGTTTGGATGCGTGTGTGGTATATTGTGTGGTGGGGGTGTATATAGTCTGGAAGGAAACGGCGGCGGGGGGGGGGGTTATAGTCTGACACAGATGTGGGTTCGTACTACTCGGCTTGGCCGGACCGCAGTCTGAAAGTACTATGAGTTAGAAGCCAGGGGCTCGAAGACAGTCCTAACATTAACCTTTTCTCGTACACCGGACCTCTCTCTCTCTCTCTATCTCTCTCTCTCTCTCTCTC